CAGTATTTTCATGCTACAAACGTGGTATATATCAATGAAAATCTTACATATTTAAGGTGCAAGTTGTTTGCTAAAGTTAGAAAATTTAAGAAAGATAATCATTGGCATAGTGCCTGGACTTTGGAAGGCAAGATATTTATTAAGAAGTCACAGGAAGAACAGCCAAAAATAATACACGCTAAAGGAGATCTTACCAAAATTAGCTAATTTAGTCTTTTTCTTCTTCTTCTTTTTTTTTGCCTCGGATACTAAACCCCGATGCTAATTTGCTCCCCAAAATAGGAAACACCTCTTTTCAATGCTATTTAAATTATTCACTTTCTTCGCCTTACACCTTGCTACTTTTTTCAGTCTAAAATTTACATTCTGATATTTAATTAGCGGAGAGAATGGTAGGAGGGCGTCGCTTTGTCTCTAATCGCGATTGAATGCTGCTTTGCATCTTTGCATTACGTTCTAATTCGCTTCGCTCAAACGAACGTAAATTATTTACCGCTTAAATAACCGCAAAAACCAGGCGAAATCAGATATGAGTGGATCGCGTGCGAACCCTAACACTTTAATGAAAAGCAATCTTACAGCATTGGTAAAGGAAAAACAGATAACATATTTAAATATGAGCTAAATACCTAAATATTTCGTCACACTTAAACGATTACATTCTGTCTCTAAAACGTACATGTCTTTTGCTTCGTCTGTTTTCCAGCGCCCATGAAGTTTCAACAACCTCTCAGAAACGGCTTTGGAAGCGTTATTACTGATAACAGCTGTAGCACCCCCTGAACGCAGACTATGTAGGCCATATTCCTTGGGGTCATAGCCCAAATCTTTCAAAGTAGTCTTAAATATTTCCCTGCAGCGAGTATAGGATAACTTGCCATTCCTAAGGGTATAACCCGACTTGTTCTTCGTTAATGGCCTGAATAAAGGCAAGTGACTAGACAGATCCAAATTGGCTGCTTCAATATACCTACGTAAGATAGCTACTGGGCAGTATTTGTTCTCTAACTTAGCAATATAAACATAATTGCCCTCTCTATATACATCCGTTTTACTCCTTGGCACAAAAATTTTAACAAAACCATCGCAAAAAAAAACGTGAAACGTGAGGTGTTTTGGCTGAATATTAGCCAACTCGTTAAAACGAAAAAATCCTGCAAAACCTAAAGAACTTATTGCGGCAATAGGTAAGTCCTTTAAAGATGCCTCCTCAGCGCCATGCTGTCAATAATGCTTCTAATGATAGTAGGGTCCACGGGGTTTTTCTTGTGAACTGGATTGCTCCTTGTCCTCTTGGCGCACTCAATCAAGCTCTTGCAACAAGCGTTATCCAAAGGATTGGTACCATCATCAGGAACAAAGGAATGGAACCATTTCAGCGCAGCATGGACCAAAACCATTGCGGCCGGGGACCTAAGCTGTTGATCTAATCCAAATAGATAAAGGGCGACAAAAGAAGAAGAAAAAGGCAACTGTAGCGCAATTTTCCGAGTCCTACACCACAGTAAAAACTTGTTTATTTCCTTAAGATACTTCTTCGCAGTAGAATCCGCCCTAGAACTAAGTAAACATTTAAATAAAGAATGAAAATCCGGCCTAATAGGAGGAGGGAGCACCATCCATGCCTTACTTGCAACTACGACCTGCAAGAAAAAATTATATCACCAAAATTTTGCAACAACAGGATAGCAGCTTTAGGAAATGTAACAAGCGATGACAGCGATTCTAATAAACGGCCCCATGCCTATGACGCAATGTCTGCAGGCAGCATAATAGAAGAAACCACAGCGACCTCCCTGGGGCAAAATAGGCATGCAAAGTAGCTCCTAAACAAAGCCATAGCGAATAACCTACAAAGAAAACTAATAACAAACGCGTAAAAACTGCATATATATCCTAAACGCGACTTGCTCTAGCAGATCATTTAAATCCCCCAAAAAGGCCCCATAAACGACAGGCAAACGAATATAAAATAGGCAACACCCTATCTGGGACACAGTCACCTCGAACACTTAAATAACCTAACAATCAGCAAAAAACAAAGTTACAGCCTTGATTAAGAAAGGTAAATAACCTAAACCAACAAGAATAACGCAGCTCAACCTTGTGAAAAACCTTGGCCAGAATAGCAGGTTGAGTTACGATTCGCAAACCAGTGTCAAAAAAGGACACAATTTTCCATATGTGAACAGGTCTCCCATTGTCGAGAGAACTCGAAACCTCGTTCTACTAACAAAAATCCAAAACGACAGAAATCCTCTCCAACGGACGCAGTCGTCCCTTCACATGACCAGTGTCATATACTCTGGACACAGCTGTCCATGCTACTAATGACCAGTGTCAAATCCTGCAAATACCAGTACTAAAAGCTAGTTCAGAATATGACCTACTCGAAGGGCAATAAAGGTTGGATAACCGTTACAAAAATTCAAATCTAAGCGCGACAACCTCGCCTGTAAAACGAGGCGAACCAAGGAATGAACTTAAATTTCTTCCCAGG